AGCATTAAGCTCAAACAAATCAAAGAAAGCCTAAAATTATTTTTTAAACCGAGCAAAACCTAAAATTTTGCTTCAACTCACATGCCGGGCAAGTTCTAGACTCTAATGCAATAACACGGACTATACAATTTTTTATCACACATGGCACATGATTCACTAAGTACGGTTCCATTCATATTCTCAAACAATTATAAGTATTTACGGAGCCACAAAATATTATTAAGTATTAAGCACAAAGTGAACACAAGCCAAGAAAATGAGACATAGGCGTCTTATAGACATGCTATCTAACTCAATAAGGCCTCATAAGCAATTTCAAACTATAGGGAAGGCAATACATATGCTAGAACCTAAATATGCTACTATCAAACAAGTAAAAGACGCCTAGAAATCTCATCTTCCTTCTTTTTTTTCCTAAATCTTATTCTACTCTAAAAATAAAAAACTATGACCTAGTTCAAACTACATCCCATGGAAAAGAACCGAGGCACAAAGAAAAACCACAGAGGATTATTACTACCTACAAAAATAAAAGAAAATTTTTTGGATTTTTCTATTTTTTTAATTTTTTTTGTGTTTTTGGTTAGACTTTAAACCCTCAAGAAAACTGTCTAATAGATCAATCGTCGGGAAAAGTTTAATTTTTTCTATTTTTCTATAAAAAATTATTCAATTAAACTAACACAACTAAAATAGCATAGAAAGTCACCTAGACAATCTCCTCACCCCACACTTAAAATTGTGCATTGTCTCCGTTGCACACCATAACTAGTAAGAGGGTAAAAGAAACTCCTTGGAAGGCCAAAAGGCCAAAGCACTAACAGCTCATGGGGTACTCAAACTTCTCCCGGGTATTTTTCTTTGTACGGGCACCTTACACTTAGTTTCAACCATCTGGTTTGTTGTTGCATCCTTCCAATAGCTTTGCTTTCCATGCTCCTAGAAAATCAAAAATCGACACTACAAAAATAATACAAATAAAAAATAAAAAAAATTAAAAATAAAAGAAAGAAGTAAAGTTGGGTTGCCTTTCAACAAGCGTCTGATTTAACGTCGCGGCACGACATGGATTATTATTATTTTTCCTCCACTTCGAGCTTATGAATTGAACACCAAGTTTTGCTTCAAGCTTATGATTATGCTCCTGGGGTGGTGGAACGAATCTAACTGGCCCAAGAAAATAATATAGTATTCTGTATTTCTTGGCCTTTAGATGAGGTGTGTAATCCCGACTTTCTGGCAAGAAGAATTCCAGAATGTAGGCACCTTGTTCCTCATTCCTTGGCTCCTCAAGTGGCTCGGATGACTCTATTTCTATATCATCATCCAAACACAATGTGAAAAAAATGCTTGGAGTGTGGATCAATGCGCTCAACTATATGAACTTTACGAGTGTCAACATCCTCAACACCAATGACACTAGAGTCAACTAAATATGTATCCTCAATGTTCTTGGTTGACTCTAGTATCTCTTCTACAACATCGGCATCCTCAAATTCTAGTTTGATTGATTGTTGGTGTTATACTATGGACCCTTCTATTGGCACCTCAATTTCTGTCTCTAATGCATACTGCTCCTGGCTACTATTCATAATATTATCTTGTTAAGCATTTAAAGCCTCAACCAATTGCCTCACGTGTGCCTCCAGGTTAAGAATAGTTTCCTCTTGCCTTTGGATAGTATCCCATTGCCTTTGGTTAGTATCCCCTAGCCTTTATATTTGCAATTGTTTCTCATTACTTCGTTCCATTAAGCACTTTAACATATCTTTGATCTCTTTCAGGTCATCATTCCTGGGTTCTTTGTTCCTATTAACTTCACCAGAAAAAGAAGAACCATCAAAGTAAGGGGTTGGGGGAAGATAAGAAATATAAGCATAACCATGAAAGTGACCATATTGACCACCATACATATCACACACATTCCACACATAAGATTGAGTTGGTGCACATAACTCACTCGCGGGAATATTTGGATAATTTTTTCACATGTGATTTCCTTCACAATATGTATGAGGATCAACAGTAGAATTACCAATACCTAAACTCCCATAATTTTAAGATGTCATGTTTATCAAATGAACAAGTAAAACAAAAATAAAAAATAAAAATCAAATACAAAATAAATAAAAGTTCAAACTTGAAACCTAGCAATATGTACATCTACAGCTACACCGTTATTCCTCGGTAATGGCGCCAAAATTTGATCACGCACAACTCTAGTCCTAAAAAGAATAAGCGGTCACTGCAAATATAATCCGGTCTAAAAGTTCGGAGTCGAATCCCACAGAGAACTAAGACTTCGCTATAATTATTAAGTATCACTAAGAAGACAAGTTCGAATAATTCCTAAGTTATAAATATAAAGATTCTTATGTTAAACTAATTAACTAACAAATTAAAATAGTGAATTAACAACTAGAGATACGAGGAGAGAAAAGATTAAGGAGGTCTAGAGTTATGATTTTTCCAATTGTCGGAATTCTTCCCGCTATATCTTGTATAATTTTGCCTAAGTATTCTCTACAGATCGTGAGTACTTTGGGTGTCATAGCTCTCTCTCGAGCAACTACCATAATTTACTAGACGTATTCTCTCGAGCTACACTAGCTGGCACTAATTCACCGCTCATTACGATCGCACCAAGGTTTCGTTATCTCTAATCACGCCTTTAAACCCTCTGTATTGATCACTCACATATGTTAGGAGTGATGTTGTTCAACAACTACCTAAATGCGTACTCTCTATCGAGAAATATACACACTAAATAGGCACAGTCAATTGATGGCCATTCAATCAATAGCAATAAACACGTAGTTGAACAAGTAGAGAAATCTAACAACTCAATTATATAAAAACGTAATAAGAATTCATCCTACAAAGGGTTCCATCAAAACCCTAGATAACAAATTAGCTATCCATAATAGTATGCAAAAGTACAATACTAGAATTCATAACCAATAATGGAAATAGGAAGAAGGAAGTGAAAAACTCGTAGAAGAATTCTTCGCCTTGCTCCTAGCGTGTTCTTGCCTCCTTAAGTCGAATCCTCTCTCCAAAAACGTCTTCTTTAGGTCTGAATTTGCTCTAAAAACGTCCTCCCCTTCTCTTAGACATGTTTAGGGAGTATTTATAGGTTAGGGTTGAAGTCCTTGAGTCCAAATCTGGGTTGGAGACTTTTAACCCACGACATTTAATTGCCGGGCTATAGACCTCGCTAAGCCAGGCGTATAGCGCGGTCAACCTGGCTATAGACCTCGCGAGGCCCGGTCTGTAGCGCGGTCAACCTGGCTATAGACCTCGCTAAGCCAGGCGTATAGCGCGGTCAACCTGGCTATAGACCTCGCGAGGCCCGGTCTGTAGCGCGGTCAACCTGGCTATAGACCTCGCGAAGCCTGGTCTGTAGTGCGGTCAAGCTGGCTATAAACATCGCGAAGCCTGGTCTGTAGCACGGTTTGGGTACTTGGCATTTTTGTGCATTTTTCTTGCATTTTCGTCCTCTTTTTATGCAACATTCACTCGTCTTTGTATTCCGGTGCTCCTACACGTAAAACAACATAATTTAGCTCAAACGTCGCACAATTAACCACTAAACTAACAACATGTAAGGCGAGTAATGTACTAGAAGTATAACATTTTGGCCTAACATCAAATATCATGTGTAGACCCTTTTATTTCCTCTCCCTGTAAATCTTCATCAATCTTTTTAGCAAGAGTATATATGGCCATTACTGTAGATCTACAAAGCTTAGTTTTATAAAAAAAGAAAAATAATCTCGGCCAAAAAATTATATCCATTCTTCCTAATCTTTCGTCTAAGCAGGGCCCTAAATGACACTGTAACATCCACTGAAGGATTCAAGTTAAAATGACAATGAATTTCATCCACCCATGCTTGAACACATATCCACATTATTATTACAGTATAAGATTTTAAGTTCTATGCACCAATTATGTAAAAGATATTTACACGATCGAATCACTTAAACGGTAATTGAACTTAACTTTATTTAGTAACATCAACTGATAACCTATAATAAAGAGCAAATGACCTGATATAATAAGTTAAATTACACTAGTCGCGTCGAGATTTATATATATATCTTAAATCCATAATATAAGACATCATTCTCATTAGATTAGTTATCCTATCAGAATGCATCACATCATCTCCAACATGATCAAATTTGGCGTGTAAGTTTGTTATTTACACACACCAATAAGAACGAAGTACTATCACATATACTATTCAAGTTATAGGAAGAATCACTCTTTTACTCTATTATCACTTGTTAGTGGTCCTGTGCCTTTATTCTTATCTTTGATTTCCGTTAGAAGTGGCAATTTATGTCTTTAATTTGTAACCGTGCACCAAATTGGGTGAATGGCGACTAAACAATAAATGAATCAAAAATTGGTATGCTGTGTTAAAATAAGCAACCCAATGGACGGGCTTTTTTTTAACTCATTTGTTTACCTTTCATTTTGACCTGATGGTGACATTTTTAAAGAGAATATTAAGCTTTTGACAGATGCAGGAGATGCTTATAGCATGTTTGGCCCTCGCTCTGACTCACACTATTATTGATGTAAAAAATAATTACACAAACCGTCCACGTATATTATAATTATAAGTAGTTCTCTGTAACATTAATCAGTAACATGATTCAAAAAGTGATGACTAACTTTGCAATCAGAAATTAAACTATTATAAAAAGCTTGTCAGTACAATATAACTTAAATTCAAGTGAGTATTATTCGACAATCTTAACTTGGATACCTTGTTTCCTTTTTAATTACATCAGAGACTTGCATTCATTGCGAACAGGTTCATACGGCTAGCATTTCAGAGATCTTCAGAGGTTGTATTTACAAAACATGTAACATCACAAATTCACATAAAATACAAATTTTAGCGCCATATAATACAATGTTTTGCGCTACTGTACTTTCGAAATAAACTACAAATTTACACGATTTCCACCAATAACAAGTAGAGATTATCTAGCAGTAGCAGAGGCAGCACCTTCTTTAAAGAGGATATTTGCAAGATTTGGCCGAAGCCAGGCCGACTTGCCACCAATTTCACCATCTTGAGTACGACCATCACCGGAGGTCTGGCAATTCTTTGGGTCCTTCAGCTTAGATTTAATACATTTTCCTACAGATACACCAAGCTTTACTGCTGTAAATAGGCTAAATGCAACAGAAAGTGGTCGAATAGCCCAGTGAAAATCCTCAAGATGCTGATACTTTTCGATAATGCTAGGACATGTATCAAAAGACACTTGAATCACCTCATCTGGATTAGCCAAGAAAGTATTAGGTTCACCACCAAACATCATCCGTCCTGGAAATTGAACAACAAGACAACCATTTGGAAGTATCTGTAATATTCTCCCGGTAGCCCATCTCCCTCCCCTTTTCTGAGGCCATTCGAACCGGGGAGTTTCAACATTTGATTTCAACTGCACAAACTGTCCCAAAAAATATGGGACCACCTTTTGGACTTCAGAAGAATGTCCTGTCCATAAAGTTTCTAAGCCTAAAAAAGCAACACTTGCATTTCCATCACGCTGCACAGAGTGCAGGACGCCCAAAGAAGAGTGCTGCTTAGTTTCATTGACCAAGCACACCCAATCCCCAGCTGCCAAACCACATGTAACCCTCTCTATGGTTGATGTATTTACCCTCAGAGGGCTCGGCAAATTAGGGACTCGCACCAGCACAAATCCATCTCGATCAGTATCTTTCTCAAGACCAACAACATTTCCTTCCAACACAGCCAACTCTTGAGACTTTCCAGAGTTCAACAATTTTCTCGAGCGAATAGTATCTCCCACTTGAAGAAGATCTTTTGAAAGGTACCATGTGGTAAAGCCACTGGTTTTGGTTTTGTCAACAGACAGAGTCCCTCCTATGTCGCTCCACTCTCCTTCACTATAAACAGCATTCTGCGAGCTGCCAATCGAGGAGCAATTAGATTTCTGTGAACTTTACATTACCGTACAAAGAAAACATATTCATCTATTCTTCCACTAGTCATTGTGTTAGGCATCAATAATCAAGTCGAAATAAGATAGAAGAGAAATATTTGAACTTAAACTTTTTGTTTTCTAATATGAAAAATGTAAAAATCAGATGTAAGCAGGTGAGGGATAGGTGGAGAACAGCACTGATTGGCTAAAGCTAACGAAGTAGTAAAATTTAAAGGATTATGACACTCAATAGGCATCTAAGATTGCAATCTAAAGAGAAAGGATTATGACACTCAATAGGCATCTAAGACTGCAAACTAAGGAATACGGCAGCTGGAAGCGAAACAAGAAGTTTTTTTTTTTT